TTTAAGAAGTATCCAACTGGATCGATAAAACCATGGGCCCTCCTCTAATGCAATTCATCTGTCATTCTGATCAGAAAACAAGAACTTAAGACTTTCTCCTTCAATAAATTGAACCGTAATAGGAGCTGTAGCTTTCCATTGAATCCTTCACTACTTACATTTACTGCATGTGAGAAGAGGGATTCAATGTTCGCAATTGCATGCATGGAATCTGTGGCGGATATTATTTATTTTCCCTTTGAGGACATACTGGTATGAGGGTAATGGTGGAAGAATCTTTACTGTAGCAGAATCTATCTACAAGAAAAGGTGGAAGAATCTTTACTGTAGCAGAATCTATCCACCTGATATGAGTGTAATGGAATATGGGGTGATAATTTCAGGGGTTACGTGGATGATATGTTGGAGAGAGAAAGAGAAGTTACAGAGGAGGAGGAGGTGCTAGGCTAGCAAAAGATTCCCGAGAAGAAGTTATGGAGATGGAGGAGGTCATAGAGAAGAAGTTATGGACATGCAAGGTTGATAAGGTTGCTAGCTTGAGAGGTGGCTGCGTGCAGAGGTGGGGCGTGCAGAAATGGGGCAATCTGGTGTGAGGGTTAGAGATAAGCTAGCATGCAACTCTGGATGGAGGTTACTTATCGGTTAGGAGGAAGATTATGGATGGAGGTTAGGTATCAGTTAGAAGAAGGTTGTGTAAGGAGGGAGATGAATCGACAATGGCATGGCTAGAGGATAACGTACTTGAGAATACAAACCGGCATTGGGTTGATAATTGAAGAATGGAAGGTGAACCAACGCTAAGGGGAACGGGCGCTGAGGTCGATGCCAAAATCCGAATTTGAACCCAAATATACTCGATTTCTGGTTCATATGTTCTCTGCCTCTTCTATTTCTAGTTCAAAAGACAAAAGCATTTGGTTTGTCGGGTCTGCTTAGGTGGGTTGATGATGGAATTATGCCGTGAATCCACACCAATCCAAATAACTGAATTTCAATTTTTCAGACAACAGCATGAGAGCCCTCAAGATTGTATACTTCAAAGTTCAAACTAAAACAACAATAACTACAAAACAGAAATCTACTACCGAAAAAGAAGAGACCCGTGCCATGCACGGGATGGTGTTTAAAGGATGCCCATGCTACATTCAGTTTTTAAAAAATCGAGTGTTTTGGGGAAAAGTTTGCTGTTTATGCCTACCTCAAAAGCCTTTGCTGTCTCTCTAACACATTACTACATTATTCTATATTTTCATATTAACTTCATCTAACAGCTAAAAATTAAATTAATTGTAACTTGATGAAATGAGCTTTTTAATGGCATTATGTAATTTCAATTATTATATACATAAACATGACTTAATTATGAAGAAGAAGAAGAAGAAGAAGGGGGAATTCTTTAATCTTAACTTTTTTTTTCTTTCACTAGTGTAAGAATATGTGCAAATTTTAAGTATTAATCGTATATGATATATGATATTTGAATTTAACTTTAAGGGTAAATTGGTGAAACCTTTCTTGTACTTTCTGTCATTTGCAGTTCAATACCTTATTTTATTCCAATAGCACTGCCCTCCCCTAAATTTTTAGACATTGTTGCATCTACATTTTTTGTGTTTTAGAGGGTGTAGATGCAACAATGTTAAAAAGTTAAGGGGAGGACAATGCTATTAGCATAAAGTAGGGTAGTTAACCTCAACTGCCTGAAAGTACATGGGATATTTCAGCAATTTACCTTAACTTTTATGACTTACACTGAAACTAAGGCAAATATAGAAGTGCATGTCACTAACCTCAACCAGACCGTCACAATGTAGCTTTGTTTTGGGAAAATGTGATTAGAATACAAGGTTGACACAAATTGTGCATTTATAAATTGAGTAAACAATTTTGGAAGAACGATTGTGGAGATTAGAAATGAAGATCCAAATTTTAAATCTATACTATTATAAAAAGTACTAAGGAGGGTGTGGAATTTTTTTTGACTAAAATGTCCACATTTGTTATTTAGTCAATATTTAATTATGAAGGTTGAAAATGTAATTTCAATTAATGCTTTTCCCCTCATTTAATCTTCTCTAATTAACTCTTGTATTTAAGGTATTAACTCCTATTCTCTTATTAAATCCCACATTTAAGTTATTTTTCACTAATAAATGGTACTAAATAAATATATATCTAGTACTTATAATAATATAAACTGATATATTTTAAAACTTACTCAAAAATAAAACAATTCTTTATCCAAGTGATGATTATCAATTCAACTATCCGAATCAAATTGGCCAATCCATGTAGTCATAGATAATAAAGTTTTTTAAATAGAAATAAATATTACAAAAATGTAGAAAAATAGACACACTTATGATATTTTATATTAATCAAATTAAAAAAAAAACATTTGTAATAAACTAGAATATTTTTATTGATGATGAAAATGAAAATATAGAAAATTACAAAAATGTAGAAAAAACAGACACATTTATGATATTTTTTAATTAATCAAATTAAAAACAAGTGTAATAAACAAGAATACTTTTATTGATGATGAAAATGAAATGCTTAATCTAAAATAAATAAAAAATGAAATTATTTTCATGTTTAGCGAAGATCAACAGTTCAACTTTTGGGTAACACCTGTCAACCTTTAACATCATAATTAAATAATAAAAATTAATAAAATATAAAAACACAAGCAAAAAAAATATATAAATTTTACAAAAAAATATTTGGGCACATTTATAATATCCTATATTTATCATATTAAACAAAAATAAGTGTAAATAAAAATATTATTTTTACACACATAGAAATAAAAAAATTATAGAAAAATTGAAAACATCTATAACTCCATGTTTACACTACTATTAAAAATATGAATAAGATTGTGGAACTTTTTTTTGACTAAAATACCCATTTTTGAATTTAATCCATATTTAATTGTGAGGTTTAAAATGTAGTTTGAACTACAATTTTCACCTTATTCAATTCCCTCTCTTTAAATCTTACATTTTTTGATAAATGTATAGAAGAGTATATACTAAGAAATAAAAATTACAAAAAGAAGAATCCAACCAAGTGGGTAGGCCTATAAATGATACCCAAAACTTTCAGCCCAATATGATGTGCTTACATAATTGGATTTGGATTTTGCAATCTCCATCCAATTAATAGTGAAAAAAAAATATACAAATAAAAATACATAAATTTTATATAAAATTTTGGATATATTATTTCTATCATTATCATCACCTAAAAATGCCACATATAAAACACATACACATTTATTAGTAGCCTAAAAACAGTCTTTTTTTTACTATTTTTTAATTTGTAAATGTATTTATTTAAGTAGTCCAAGGGGCTGTTTGATAACAATTGTAATGACTGAACTTTCTTTTTAGTGAGTAAATTTTTAAGGAGGTTGCGAGCTCCATAATGGCTAAATTTTATTTCGTTAAAAGACAAAAATAAGTCACCTAGCAGCCGTTATCAAATCGCCTAAAAACTGTAATTAACAATGGACCGGTCTTTATAATTTACCAGTGCAGGGGCACCTGAAATGCATGTTTAGAAATAAATGGTAAAGATACAAGGACATTTTATAATTACATTCAAATCTAGCGTTCAAAATATTGATTGTAATCGAAGCTCATTTCTCCTTAGGCTTGTTTATCCATGAATTGGGTTAAACCCTGAAACACTCCTTGTAGGGACGGGAAGCCCCTGATGCGGTCCGATACGTATCGAAATTTCAAACCTTGATTCAAATTTTATGATCCACGCTTTTTAACAGTATATATAGATAAATGTATAATATATCTTTTATATTATTAATATACATTTAAAAGATATAAAGTAAATCTTCTGAGTCTGATTTTTTTTTTTTTCATTTTACTAGGCAATAACTGCAACAGAAGTCCCCGAAAAGTGCAAAAGATTTGATGATGAAGATTCTTAAAAAAAAGACACCTGTCTAGAGTGGTCATAAAAGTGACTGCAAGTTTGTGTTGATTGTTTATTTTAGGGAATTTGAATCCCCAGCTAAAGAAATTTGTGTTTCTTGCAAAAGATGTTAAGTATGCTTTAGTGAGCTTGGATATTTCTTTTGATTTTATTCCTAGAAGTTGTAAATTTGTAATAGGGTTGCTCACATTTTGAGGGCATCGTTCCTTTGTGGCTGTCTAAGACTTTAGAAGATGATAGATGTGTGAGTTTACTCTAGTTAGTTTAAAGTAGTTTTTTGCTGTGATGTTTGGCCTTGATGATAGATTTCTTGAAAACCACTGCCATGTTAGAGCTATGTTAGCATTAGAGGAATTGGCATTGAAATGTTTGGTTGGCCAATTTTGATGATTTTCAAGAAATAGACCACAAATCCATTCTTGAAATCAATCCTTTTCAGGGATCTTTTTATTTTTTTTGTGATTTTCTAATTTCTAGCTGATTCCGGACATGGCATTGTATAATAACTCTAATACAAAAATAATCAGCATGAGAACCAGTACCAAACAGATTCAAAGCCGATTTTTCAAAACTTGGCTCACATGGTAGAAATGATACCAATTAGCAAAATTTATTGATTTTTTGAAAAAACACCAATTTCGAAAATCATTGATTTTTGAAAAATCAGTAAAGAAGAATCATCATCATTGCCAAACATCACCTAAATGTCAAATTATAAGGATTATCAAATTGTGAGTTAAACGTCAATGTACTAAAACAATTATTCAAAGTGAAACTAGTATCTCCTTTTTTTTAAAAAAACAAAACTATTATACCCTCTTTTTAAGAAATCTATTAAGACTCCCACGCATTTCTTAAGTATTTAAGCATTTCTTTGCATTTCCATGTTTATAAAAATTAACTTGGTGAAATGAAACTCAAAGAGATCCATATTTTGTAAATCTCTCTTCTTTTAACTGCAAGCTTCGTGGTCGTGGGTATGCAACTTTCATACAATCCTATGAAAAGAAATCCTATGTTAGTTATCTGAGGATCCCAAAGAAAAAAAAAAACGGAGTTACTGGGAGAACAATAACTACCGGATAATTATGAACACATATTACAGCAGAAAACTCCATGAACTACTGTCTCAAGAAGCTTACAAGATGAGCGTCAAAACAAATATCTAAAATTCCATTTTTACGACTGCCTTGGAAAAGTCAGAAGACGTTCCAAGAGGAAGCCAATCCTTCGCACATATAAGGGCCTCAATTGTCTCAGGACGTAGAGAACTCCGGTAGGGATCAAGCTTTTTGAGTTCAGTGTTGAATACTGAATCAGCTGTTGCAGGTGAAACTGTGATTACTAAAATATCTCGGGCCATCCTGGAAAGTGTTGGGTATTTAAGGTTGTTGAGTTTCCACCAACCCAATATGTCGAACTCCTGTATCCGGGGCAATAATGACTCTTCCAAATACTGATCCAACTCTGACTTTGTTTGTTGGCTACTCGATATCTCAGAAATATAGACATCAAAATCCAAAAGCCCATCACCAGCGGAGAGAAGAGTACCACCTGGTGATACCTCTGTCTTGGGAGTGAGAGGAGTTTCTCGTTCCACATAAGTTGGCGTTAGAGGAAGCGGTTGTGATACATATTCAAGAAAGAGGTCATGAATTCCTTCATCTACGATCTTGACATATTCCCCTGCATCATCACCATATATCTTTGAGAAACTGAACTCTACAAGCTTCATCTTGAATCGAGGATCCATAACAACAGCAAGTGCTAAGACCAGGTTGCAATCCTTCCAATATTTATCAAACTTTTCCTGCATTGGCCTGGTAAGGTTGCAAACAAAGGGATCCTGGCTCATTGCAGCATGTGTCAGTTCTAAATGTATTTTCCACACCTCATGGAAGAAAATATTGGCAGTTGGATATGTCGCACTGGTTAATATATTAGCTGCATCATACAGAAGCTTCAAGTATATGCACAAGGTCTCCACTTGCTTCCAGTCATCCATGGTTGGCGCATCCTTGTACTCAGGATCAGAGGTATCCAAACAAGAAAAAACTTCCTTTAATTCCAAGGCAGCAACTAGCATGAGATATGTCGTATTCCATTTTGTTAGGTCATCAATTGATAAGCTCTTGGTGCTTGGGACTTGAAGCTGTTGTTTAAGCTCGATGAACTTTTCTTCATGGGTATCTGACGTCTTCACATACTTTACACTTGCACGGACTTTACTAATGGTTTCCTGCAGTGCTACTAGTGCATCTTGTGCAATAATACTTAAAACATGGGCATAGCAATGGCCTATTAATAATTGCCCATTAAGCATAAGTGGGTTCTTGACAGAGAGGTAACCTCTAATATCTCCATTCGCACTGTTATTCAAGAGCTGCTGGTTCAAAGTTACAGTAAATAGCTTGTTCTCTAAACTCCAATCAGAAAGGAAAGTGCCAACAGCATAATTGAATGCATTTCCAGTTTCAATAGATGGTACCATAACAACATTAAGAATCCGCCTATGCAACTTCCAGTCACTGTCAATATAGTGCCCCACCACAAACACATAGCCCAGGGTTTGATCTGAGGTCCACAAGTCCAAGGCAAGGCTGATCCTCCCAGGAATCGCTTCCAAAACCTTCAGAAGATTTTGCTTCTCTCTAAGGTAAAGTGCCACACAATCACCTTGGACAGTGCTAAAATTTACCATGTTGAATCTAGGTTGAAGATTCTGGACAAAAGCTACAAAACCAGGATGTTCTACCATGTGAAGTGGATACTCATGCATGACAATCATCTTAGCAATCTCATGGCGGCATCGGTCCTGATCAAACAAGCTTAGTGTGCCGGGACTTGCTCTGTAGCGTCTCCTTGGTGGTGGATCAGTAAGATTACCAGCTTTGGTGGGGCTATATGGTGTTAATTGATTCTTTTCCTGATTACGACGGGTTGCTGGGCAGGTCCCTAACATAATGTGTCGTTTGAGGTGGCTGGTTCCTGCCAATTTTGAGCCTGTACTATATGCAAAGGTTTGCTTGCACTGCTTACAGCAAGCCCTGGTACATCCAGCACCCACAGCTTCAATGGTAAAGTGTTCCCACACAATGGACTTCTTCCGCCTCCGCTTGTTATTAGGCTGCGCCTGCGGCTCTGGATTAGCTATAGCTAGCTCATTATTGTTTTCACTTGCTGCAACCATCATCGTGGAAATTCAAGCACCTGATTTTGGAAGTAAATAAATAAACGACAGTGTCATAGGGTGATGGGGAACTATACAATCAGTGCATACTGGCCCGAAGTAAAAACAATATATGTAACTGGACATACAAAGTCGATCACTCAATCTTTTTTAAGTTATTTTTTGAACAGTTTAATCACATTATGTTTTGGTATTATATAAAATTTTAATGTTTCATTTTGAACTTGAATGCAGCACTGGCCCCCACAGGGGTGAAGTATACGATAGAACTGTAGTTTGGGGTTATAGTAGTATGGATGGACATGGGGTACACTGGCAAAATGGAATACCTGCTTTTACATGGATTTGCATCTGTGCCTCCTACAATGGGAAGGATGCCAACTGACCACCTAAACTAAAGCCGCTGATGCAAAATCTGGTCCTCCAGATTAAGGAGGTTAGGTGTGGAAGGGAGAATTAGAGGAGCACAGGAGTGACACAAACACATTTTTTATAGGCAAGAATTCATAACACAATCACCAATGTCCAAGCAGTAGTTCTCCCAGGCAACAGAATGCTATCAACTTCACATAAATATGGAAATGATATGCTCAACTTGGAGGCCATGGGCCAAGTCCTGGTGTTAATTAACATACTAACTAATTGGCAATGTTACCAGGAAGCCTCCAACTAACTAGTAAGCCATGCCATGACTTGCACCAATTGCTGATATGTAATGCTTGACACAATACTACTAGAATTAAAGTTCTTTTTGCTTTTGTTTAATTTATTTTAAAACCATTTGTGTAATTTAATATTTTCTTAACATGTCACTGGAGAAAAAGGAGAAATCTTGTGATTTCTACCAGGCATCTCAAGTCTCAACATATGCCATAGCTCACAATTGCTCCAGTTGGGCTCAGCATTGAGCATGGTCAGAGTATTATAACACTTCTTAACTTCTATAAGTTGGAGGAAAAAAATATTCTATGAGCTTGATCAAGATGCAGACTGGCAGTCCAGATAAACTTCAAATAATAGCATAGCAGATCAATCCTTGAACTTACAACAACCAAATCGCCAGAAGCCTCCAGTGGTTTTAGTAATTATAGAAAGATCCATACACGAGTACAACACATTATTTCCAATAAAGAATTAACTTACAACACCAATTATGCCTTGATAAAAAAAGTTAGCACGATAGTCTTGGTCTTATATATACTAACCATAAAGATTAGTGATTTTAGATAATCTGAAAGCCAATAAATTGCTTGGCCAAGGAATTATCATGTGAAAACAGTGTCACATTTACTGTCCATATTGATCAGCCACCTAGAAATATATATAGTGCAATCACCCACTCAAGTCATCCAGTGCCAGAACATGACATTGGCCATCTTGACCATCTGATAAATTGCAATCTTAAATCCTAAGATAGGCTCATTTTGTGAATGGGTGTTGTTTGAGTTGGTGTTTGTGGCACAAAAGAAAAGGAGATCATATTGGAGCTTAAAAGAGCAGATTCTAGGAGTAGCATGAACTTTTATAAATTACCAAAAAACAAGAAAAAAATAAAAATGGATCACCAATTAATTACTAAGAATGGAATGGATGAAACCTAGTGTGGAGAAGCAACTGGTTGCCTTGACATTACTACCAACATCAATAGTACAATAGAAACCCTTATTATTAAAACAAGGGCAGAAGCAGTACAGAACTGACATCATACAGTTGAAATTCAAAATGTTTCATCTGATCCAAATGAAAAGATTTGATGTTGCTTTATGAAACATTGTTGTTATACGATCCTGACCGAAGAAGTCATTGTAAACTTTCAAAACATGGAGATTATGTGCTCCAATTGGACATGGGGGGAGGGTTTGTGTTGGTCAATCTGCATACTTAATCCTTGGCAGTGTTACCAGGTCTTGGCATCAATAAAGCCTGAGAACATAAGAAAAAGGAAAAACTTAATATACATTGCATGAGAACATAAAAGGGCCATCAACCAATGATGGTTTTAGCCATCTGGGGTCTTGGAAGGGGTAGACTGGATACGAACCTAATCTTTGGCATTTTTTTTGGCAGAAAGTGGATGCTCTCAGACTTGAACCAGCGTGACCGAGATTTTACCATTATGCCAAGCAATGGCCCCTACATTACACAAGAATATGCAAATCTAAATTATGAAAGACATAAGACATTTTAAAAAGCCTCTGAGCTCAATTGGTTAGAGAATTGTGTCATTAACATGTAGGTTGTAGCCTCATATGTTCAAGTGCTACATAATCTAAACTTTTAAACATCATAGGTACAACCTCAATATGGTAAATAACCCCTATGCAATAACAAATTCATTAATTCTAACAACATCTTAAAAATCATCTTAGCTCAACTGGTTAGAGGTGTAATCATTGTGCAGTTCTAGCCTCATATGTTCAAGTCCTACATAGGCTAAACTGTTTAAACACCACAGAAACAACCTACAATATAGCAAAAAAAAAAGACCTTTTTTGATATCAAATTTAGGGTTAGTAGCAGTTCTAGCCTCATTAATTCTGAAGTCTTTGAGGGTTCAATACAGCAGTTAGCAAAGTTTGTGTTGATTAAACCCTAACAAATAAGAAAATAATAAAAAGAAATTAGTTTATAAACACAAAAAATGAATATTTTTGTTTAATAATGTCTATTTTATAATTATAACTAAAAAAAGTAACAATATAAAAGTATTTTATAAGACACTATACAAAACTGCTGGGCGACTGGGCGAGGCGAGCCTCCAATGGCGCCTTGTCGCTTAGGCATCACCTTGACAACTATGGTTAGTAGATTAAAATATAGAGACAAGCTTGGTGAAGCAAACCCCACAAGATAAGCCTTGCCTGTAGGCCTGAGGTGATTTTGAAAATACCAATATGCAAAAATCCTTCAGATACCTGAATACACTTGGCACCCATGTCTTGTACCAAGGTTACACTGATCTTTGGCTGGAATCTTTTGTGCCTTTTTATTCCCATTATTCCTTCACCATCATTTCGAGTTCCAGTTGGTTCCATACCGAAGAACTTCAAAATCCAAATAATCGAAGTTTGAAATTCTGAAATTAGGACAGACATAAGCACACATAATTGCAGGCCACATGCCCATATCTGTATGCACAGTGCACCTGCCTGTTTGAAGGGAGTACCAAACCATCTCATCAGAGAATATTTTCAATTCAAACTCCACAAAAGCACCATGTTATAGATCATTAAAGCTCAGTAGTGCCATGGTTGAATATCAGGTCCAGCTGAGCAATGGATGCCCTAAATAAAACCAATCAAGCTAACATCAGGATCCAATTAATTTGCTCAGTAGCACCTCCCAAACAAGCCACTTGATCTCAGTCCCTGACACTGTACTGCAAATCCACGAGTTCTCACAAAAGAATCCCAAAAACCCCCATCAATTGTCAGTGACGTCATTATTTACGTCAGCACTTTAAAGAGTCAGACACTGATCTAGACTACTAAGACCTAGCTCATCCTGGATGCTGGCCCGGGCCGGGCCATCATATTCTTCGTGGGCTGGTAAGGCCCATATTCATTTATCTCTGGCACCGGCAGGAAGATAGGGAGTTAAGCGGGCTGGATCACAAAGAGACAACAGTGAACAAGCCTGAAGGAAACGCTCCCACAACCTTGGCTGGCTCGGATCAGACTTTTGTCTCAGGGCTCTCTTTTCAATTTTTAACAATGAATCCATGATCTAATATGATTGTCCACTGGACAAAAAGGGAAGTCTCAGGTCATAGTCTCCGTCGGCAACCCACCCTCGGCCAAAGCCCACGACCGCTCCAGCCAGGCTTGGGCTTATGAACTCGATCAAGACGAAGTCCACGAGAAAGCTCATACATTGTCAGATTGGCCGTGGGCTTCACCTCTACTAATATTAGCTAAAACACTCCCAACGAAATCATCAGAAGCCTCGAATGGTTCCTGTAGTTAGGGTTAACAAGATCCATCTTTTTCTGCTAATTTATCACAGGGAACTAATCAATGGCCTGGTCTTCTTCTCTACAGAGATCAAAGATTATAAACCTTCTCAGAACTTTCACATAAAACAACCAAATAAACAGAATTATAAACCAAATCCATACAAAATGGCCGAGAAAAGCAAAGAAAGAGAGACACAGCGAGAGAAAGAGAGAGACTCAGATCATCGAAGGGAATAGAATATCGTTAACCGCAAAACGAACAGATCACAAGGAAACGTACAAAAGTTACGATCGTGACATCAAGAGCAACATTAAACCAAACATTTAAGTTCTGTAAAACAAGAATAAAGAGAGCGAGGGGTTACAGTTCTCACCTGCACCGTTCTTTACGGCAGAGATGTACTGAGGGGGATACGATGGATCTGCCTATCGGAGGCCCAAACGCCGAGCTTCTTTCAGGCTTTCCGAGATCTAGGGTTTTGCAGAGAGAGAAACGGAGAGGGAGAGGGTTAATGGGCTTGAGCCTAGAAACCTATTGGACCTAAAGCCGTAGACCTGGTTTTGGGAGAGAGAAAAAAGGAAAGAGGGAAATAAAAGCTCAATTGGATTTGGACTTGAGGTCCAATAGTGTATCCAGCCCTTAATGGACCCTAAACCGTACATGTAGCCCACCAGTTCGATCATCAGATCTGGACAATTCACCGGTGGGGGCCCACCCCTTATGGTAGTCCACTTATTACATCTTCTTAATAAATACCCATTGGACCTAGCCGTGAATTGTCCAGATCTGATAGGAGTGAGAGTGAGAGAAGAGTGGTAATGCTAATCTATGCGTACCAGTCCTGGGCTCCATCCGGTCCATAGCACCTCCTCGCAGCAGCAATCCCGAGGCTTTCTTTGGGCAGGCCTAGAAATGATGGTTTCTCTGGGCCCTCTCTCAGTTTGGCTCCATTTGAAAACGAAAGAACAAAGAGCACTGCTTCGGTGCTGCCACAACTACAAGGGTACCCTCTCCATAGGCGCAACAGGGACTTCTCCTTAGGCTCCATGATTCCAATTTCAATAGACCGCTACAGAACCGGACCCTCCGGTCCATTGATTTGGACCTCCTAAGAAATCAAATAGCCTACACAAAACCATGTGGGCCGATCCTCTGGTACTACACTGAGCATAGCTCATTTTCCCTAAATGCAGGGAAATTACCTAGGTGGGCCCGCCCATTTAAGCGTAGATTTCTACCCTCTCTGTACACGAGCTTCCTTATTGGAACAATTATACTCCTCTCACTCTCAGGCCAAAGATGCCCGAAGAGTACAGAAAGAATGAGAAAGGATGATGCTTGAGAGCTTAAAATAATGCTACAATAACTAAAGGGAAATCTGCTTGACGAAGCCTAAGATATGCATGTGATGGTGGTGGGCCTGGGTCCATGGAGTGTGGGTCATAAGTCCATTTTCTTTTTTTTTTTAATATTTTAGTAAGAGACTTTTGGAAGAATATTGAATAGGACCATGGGAGTTGCAATATGCAAGTGGGTCTGCGAGCCCACTTATCACTTAGAGCTCATGGAATGAAGATCACCATCCAATGGTCTCAAACACAAGATTTCATGTATTATGAATATGAATCGTCTGATCAGAAGCTTTTTTTCCTTGTAACTTGTAAGCCCCTTTTGGGAACTGAGATAATAGTCCTAATTCATCACTTAAGTTGGGTTCATTTAAATGTGGGCCTTTAAACATCAATTATGGGCCCTAAACTCTTTTGTGGTTCTTGTAGGGATAAAATCTGCCTAATGTTTTGGAGGGACAAGTAAGACAAATTAGCTTTAAGAAAGAGAAAGAATCCTAAGCTTGTAAGTGGTTTGGTATCTGCTTTTTTTTCCGGTTTCTATGTAAATTTCTCCTAACAGTACTTTTTGCCGAATTCTTGTAGAGCTTATTGTTAGGACCACAAACTTAGGTTGCATTTGGATAAACTTCAGGATTTCTGCTTTTAAAGTCCAAAAAGTACAAAGTCTAATTTAGGCTTTGTGCTTTGGGGCTCAAAAATATTTTGGCTTTAGATTGTTATATTTTAAAAATCAGCTTTTAGTAAATGCTCAAGACACATTTTGACTCATTTTTGTCCAAAGCTCAAGAGCTAAAGCTTATCCAAATAGGGCCTTGGGTATTCAAAACATTGCTTTTTTAGTCATCTTTTCCCTTAATTCCTGGGTTTGATCAAATTCCAACCAATAAACACCTAGAAAACTTGACAAAAACCATTACTTTGAATGCTCGAAACTTTACAAGTAGACAACTTCAAGAGGGATTTTGACAAATCAAAAGATTTCCAAATTTCGAAGGGTTTAAATCCCAGGGTATTGTTGGTATTTGATGAAAAGTTTAGGGATAAAATTATCGCATCAACGACTTTGCTTCATCATTCAGCAATTAAGTAGGTCCCCAGTTGCTGAAATGCTGAATGTTAAATTCTTAAGTTTGCTATCTTCTGAGCATTCTTCTTCCAATTCCGCCGATCTCAGTGGTTATCAAATGCCACCCTAAAGCCAAAGCAATAGACTATCCATGGATTTTAGGAGTTTTGGGCTTTTGGCATGACAAAGGCCCCTTACATATTCCTTTATTCCAACAGATTTCTTCAGTTATCCTTGCATTCTGTCAATAACGAAAAGGCAAAAAAAAAAAAAAAAGAGAAAATGAGGATCTCCTATCCATAAGAATTCTATCCACGCGTACCCATAAAATACTATCTCCGTGCATTGGAGATAGCTAATACCCTGTTTGGACGTGTGTGTGCATAGAGTTGTCGTAGGTAGGAAATTCGTACTCAGAGAAAATAGCTAATACCCTGTTTGGACGTGTATGAAATTAAAATGATTTTGGAGAGTGTAATATGTAGCTTACAAGTAGGTTACTTGTTAGTAAGGTTCAAAATTTCAATATGATACAGCTTGTATGGTATTTTGTAGTTTTCAATACACCTATTTAAAGGCGCTCTTAAGAAACTGTTTTTTAATGATTAAAACACAAAAAATAGGCCTAAGCTGAAATTTTGAATAAAAAAAAAAAACAACGTAAAGTATCAATACACCCTTTCTGGGATGTTGGGGTGTATCGCTATTTTGATCCTTGGTGGTTAGTTACCAACAAGCTTGACACATTAGTTAAACCCAAGGTTCAAAATTTTGATATAGTTGAATACACCGGTAGGGGTGTATTGGACTGTATCGTAGCTTGGTTCTTTTTTTTAGTTTTTTTCAATATGGTTCAGATGGATCGATTTAAGGCCCATTTATCCCCTGAATCAGGTTAGACCCCGAAACACCTTTTATAGGAACATATTGGAAAATCACGATACAATATGTATCAGCCGATATGGCCTGATATGTATCGAAATTTCAACGCTTGATTAAACCCAAATTAGAGACAATGGAATCACACACTCCATAGAATTAAAATTAAGAAGTAAAGCGAATGGGTAGATAGAAGTCCATGCTAGTCAACATTTTAAAAGTAGTAATAGAAAGATGCCAACTTTTTCTTATATGAACTGTTGTTATAAACTAGGAAAAGCAATTCAATGTTCGGAGGAACATGTTTAATTAATACAAGTTGAATTGGTTAGGTATATGTCCATTTCACTCTTAAGGGCTTCCTTTCCTCAAAAGCCTTGAAAGAAGGGAGGCCCAAACCAGGGGCTGATGGGGGCCAATGGGCCATTACCCTCCAAAGTTTTCAGAAGCCTATTATTTTGAAAACGTCAATATGGCACCCACCCCATAAATAAAATATTTAAGAAAGAAATCTCCATTTGAGTTTTAATTTTTAACTGAATTTGAGGGATCAACATCCTTCTCTCTCTCTTAGAAATAGAAATGTTAATCAGTACTGAAACAAAGAAAGAAGAATTCAATAACCTTGCTCTCTTAAATTACCAAACAATTGATTGGTTATTGTCACTGTTCATGTAAGTATGTCAAGGTGGTTGCAAATGTTTATATGTAACCTTTATTTTACTATTAATTAATTCTATAGTTCGGATCTAAAATTCTTTTTTGATAATTTATGTCATATTTGTGACACTTGTATATTTAGAATTATTTCAGCTTTGTTGTGTTTAAGACTTATTATTTTTGTTTACTTTTCCTTAGTAATTATGCCTACCAAATGGTTTTAAGGAAAATTTTGATGATTAATCATAGGCTGTCGATGGACTCTAAAAGTTTGATACACAATTCAACATTTGGTCCAATTATCCCGGCTTTGATGTTAGAACTTGTTTATAATTAATAATGGGATTGGATCCTAATTTAATCCCATCTAATCTGATTAAAATCTGAGTTCAATTAAACATTATTGTTATATATAATTATGTGTGTATAAAGTTTAAAATTAATAAATTGATTATTTTATATTTATATAAATTTATTATATATGTATAAATAAAATAATAAATAATTTTCTTAAACCTTTTTAAAATTTTTTCTTCATTTTAGACACAATATTTGGAATTGGATTAAATTTAAATCTGATTTGAGTCAAACATATCAGATTTCGGATTGGACTTGAATTTAAAAATTTAATTATTAGATCGGATTCAGATATGGATGGATCTGGTTTGAATTCGACCCATTTACAGCCCTAATTAATCTAATAAATCATATAAAATTTTCAATTACGTTAGGAAATTAGGAAGGAAAGATAATTGACTGGTGTCAAGTGTGATTTTTCCCAATAAACTAGACAGAAGACTTCATTTTTAACTTGATTATAGAGGATTTCAGCTGTTCACGATTGATGGTTTTTAGCTATCAAAATATGTCAAGGACATATTCCATATATAGTTAATATATATAGATATTCTTTAAAAGTTGGAATTTTTACTTAGTGCATTTTCACCTATATATAAGTATAAAATAAATAGATTGTAATTAGGATTCACAACTTGTCAATAAACCCAATTGAGGATAGTCTTCTATGGGTCTTTTTATTGTTATGGTCTAAAATATGTAGTAGTAGAAATAAGAAATGTTATATGAAAATTTCATTTAAGGCTGTATTTGATTGCGATACAAATAAATTTGTACTGATGCAAAACCAGTACAATTGTCAATGTGTTTTTCTCTCTCTCTCTAATCAACCTTGAAATTGTCAATGTCTTTGAAAGAATTGACATATACAGATGGTGGGCAGTGACAAACATCCCTCAGTGAAACAAGAGTTACAAATTAAGAAGAGCATTCAATTATATTATCAATGATTTCTTACCTTATATAATGAAGAGAAACTTCCCTGAGCAAGTCATCAAAAAGAAATAAAGAAAGAACATAGGAAAGTGATACAAAGGGACAACATTGACAGTTAGATATATCCATTAATTAGTATCTGCCTGCAGCTCTTATTTCTAAACCACCGGCCTTTTATAAAATATATTAGCTACTACGTTATACGTCTACTCTTTGTGATATTCTGGCTTTTAAGGTAAAATAAAACAAGCACATGCTATGCCAATGTAGAAGCCCACCAGCTGTATTTGTCAAGTAAAGAAGAGTCCCTCATGAGATCTGCTTCAGTCAATGCAACCGTTC